AGAGAAAATAATCATGTCCGCTTCTTCCTAATATGTTGTTTCGTGGAGACAATCTTATTTCTGTAGGGACTCACCTCACAGTAAATTGTAGAACGAGTCAGTCACTCTCTGCTTGAGGTTAGAGAGAGAGAGTGAGAGAGAGTTATAAATGTTCTTTTGTTGTGTGGCGCGGGGGCGGGTTGGCGGGACGCCAGGACCCTAACCCTGCGGAGGTACAGGGACGCCAGGAGCTGTCCGCGGTGCTGCTGCGGGCGGGACTGAGAGAACGGGTCCCAAGGGACTGAGGCAGAAACGGGGGGACTTTTAAGGATACTCTTGGGGTAGTGTGGACTTGTCCTGGGGGTTAGGGAGGTCTCAACCTCTCTAAGGTGCTCTCCTTTGGGTAATGGGGAATCGGAGATTTTTCCTGGGGTTGGGAGACTCACCCTTTTGGGTTTTTTTTTTCCCTAGGATCTTTCGGGATCTGTATTAGCCTTAGATGATGGGGCGAATCACATTTGCGGGGGTCTGCCTTGGACGATGAGGGTCTTGGACTTGCTCTGGCTTTGAGAGGCTCTGGTTTGGGGGGCTTCCCCCAGGTTGTTGGGGACTGTCTTTGCCCTTGGTGATGGGGTCAATCACTTTTGGTTGCTTTACCTTGATGACAGAGTACCATATCCTTCAGAGGCTGTCCTCACTGCCATCTGTGCCTCCATTGGCAAACTCTTACCTTGTGTGGGAACCGATGAATTGAGTCAGGGGTTTCCGCCTTTGCCTTGGCTCTAGTGTGTGTGTGTGTGTGTGTGTCTGAGGCTGTCCAGGACCCCTGGGGAGCATATGCTCTGGGGACGAGGAGTGGGGTTTGGCCAGTTGGGGATTTGTCCTTGGCTATGACTGCATTTGCCTCCTGGGACTGCTGAGCTAGAGTCCATGTTTTTTTGGTGTGTTTTTTTTTTTTTTTTTGGCAGGAGGGAGGAGGAGGATCTTGTGACTGGGGGGAGGTGGAGAAGGGGGAGGAGCAAACATTCTCAGGTGCCAGGTTTGGTCATGAGTGGGGAGGTTGGGGCTTAGGGCACAAGTCTTATTTGGGGGCTCAGAAAGCACCCTTGTGATTGGTCCTGCTCGGGTAGTGAGAGGGGCCCACTCAGTGCTTGCATTTTGAATGACTGGTTTTGTTGGTGAGTGGGGAGACTAGAACTGCCATTAGGGAGTTAGCTGTCTGGGGAGGTTCTATCTAGTCCATGTTGGGGAGTCTGAGCCTAGCTTTTAGGGTAGATTCATTTGGGGAGCTAGTAGGCAACCCTGTGGCTTGCATTGGGGGTTGACTTTGGTAGGGGGCTAGGACTGGTCATGATTTGGGAGAACTGTGGTCTCGGATTGGATCCTCATGGCCGGATTTAAGGAGTCCTGTGGGCTCATTAAGGAGGCTGGATATGAGCTGTGGGGGATGGGTCTACCCCAGATTGGAGGGCTAGTTTGGAGGGAACTGGACTTGGCACCAGTTGGGAGATTGTTTAGGGATTCAGCTGGTCATATTGGGGCGCGGGGGGGCTGGAGCTAGGTATGGAGGCTTCATTTGATACCCTGAGGAGTGGGTTGGGATCTTGAATTGGTCCTTATTGGAGGTGGCTGAGACTGAATCAAAGGGTCTAAATGTTGCTGTTGGGGCGGGGGCTACGGGGGCTGAATTGAAAATGAGCTAAATTAGATGGGAGGACTTGGGCGTGAGTGGGACAAGGCTGACTGGCTCAGGAGCCCTGCCTTGGGGCTTAGGACTTATGGGAAGGGCTGCCCTGAGGACAAGGGGGATGAGGAACGGGGCATTCTGGGGACCCTTTCATCCTCCCTCCCTCCACCCCCGCCATACACATACATATAAAAGCTTCACTTGCAAAAATTTTCCATCCCTTCCTCCCCTGCCCCAAACCTAGCAGTCCTGGCCCTCAACTTGGGACTTCTGGAGGGGATGAGAACTATGCCAGGTTGGGAGAACCAACTGAGCCCCTCCTCCTGTCCACAGCTGGATGGCTGGATCCTCGAGAAGATGCTGATGGCTCGCGATGGCACACGGGAAGATGGTCACAAGCTGCATAAGAGATGGCTCCGGCACCAGGCATTCATGGCCGAGCTGGCTCAGAATAAGGAGTGGCTGGAGAAGATCGAGAGGGTGAGGATGCAGAAGGCCCCTCGTCCTGTGTCAGGTGCCAACGGCCTCCAGGGAACCCACTTCTCACCACCAGCCTGCTGCTGTCACACCTGTGAACTGGTTCAGCTCATTGCCATGTTTGCTTCTAGCTATGTGGCCTTGAGCAGTTCATGTAACCGCTTTGAGCCTTGATTGCCCATTTGTAAAATGGCAGCTTCTCTTCTGAATGGTGCCCATACCCTCCTAGCTTTTAAATATTAGGGAGGGCAAAAGTAGGTTTACATTTGTTCCTAGGGAAAAAGGCATGCAGGTTATGGTTGCTGCAATAGCTTTATTTACCTAGAAGATAAATCATAATTGATACAAAATAATAACAATAACAAGACAAATAATACAAATAAATAATAAAATAATGAATAAAGAAATAATAATACAAGAAGAAAAACCGCGTACTCACAGCTATAAACCTACTTGTGCCCACCCCTGTGTTTCCCCTTTCCTGCAGCCTCCCCCAGCAGGCTTCCTTCCACACCTTTTGGAGCATCTAGGATAGAGCATCAAGTAGACAGGCTGGGGCAGCCCTAGGGAGCTAGGGTTAAAGTGGACTTTGCATTCCTACAACCCTGGGTTCTAACTGTGTCTGTGTGTGCCTGTTACCAGCTGTGTGTTGGGGAATTGTGTCAATCTCTTTGAGCCTCGGTTGGCTCTGCTTTAAAATTAAGAAAATAATGAATATCGCTACTTCTCTGGGCTCTTGTGCACATAAAGTGCTTAACACAAAGCCAGGCACCCAGGAGCTGTAATTGCTCTGGTATTGTTATTTTAATATGCTCTAGGCCGGTGGTCTGCAAACTCATTAGTCAACAGAGCCAAATATCAACAGTACAACGATTGAAATTTCTTTTGAGAGACAAATTTTTTAAACTTAAACTATATAGGTAACTTAATTAGGGTACTCCTAAGGCTTGGGAAGAGCCACACTCAAGGGTCCAAAGAGCCGCATGTGGCTTGCGAGCTGCAGTTTGCCAACCACGGCCCTAGGACAACATATATTGGAGTTTGACTTCAGTCTTGGTGGGACCCAGGCAGATTTTTGCTCCAAGTCTCAACCCCCAAAACTGCCCCCTAGTCTGGCTGAACCCCTAGACCTGCAGCCCTGGATATCCGCACTCTTCTGACTCAAACGAAGACACCCACGTGGGCCTTAAACTCTTAAGTGGCCATAGGTGCCCCCTAAATGGTGGCACATGGCAAAGCCACCCTTCTTGACTTTGAGTTTAATGGAAGTCTCCCTCTCTCTCTCTCTCTCTCTCACTCTCTCTCTCTCTCTCTCTCTCTCTCATCTTTTTTATGGCCCTCTACCCATGTTTCTGAACTTATGGGAATGTCTCTGTGGCTATCACTTTATGACTGTCTGTCTGCTCCCATGTCGCTGTGCCTCTCTGTCTCCCTCCCCACGCTTCTGTCTATCTGCCTGTCTGTCTTTCTCCTGGTCTCTCTTCCCACAACTTGGCTTCTTTAATCCCTTCACCCATCTCTACATCCACCCCTCATGTCTGTCTCTGTGAGTCTCCAACTCCTTCCCGCTCTCTCCACATCTCTCCCTGCATCCCGTCCTGTTGCCCCCATATTTTCCTGTCCCTTCCCACCATCCACCCCTCCCCCTCACTTCCTGACTCCCACTGTCTGGGGCAGGAGGGCCAGCAACTGATGCAGGAGAAGCCAGAGCTGGCAGCCTCCGTGCGGAAGAAGCTGGGCGAGATCCGGCAGTGCTGGGCCGAGCTGGAGAGCACCACCCAGGCCAAGGCTCGGCAGCTCTTTGAGGCCAGCAAGGCTGACCAGCTGGTGCAGAGCTTTGCTGAGCTGGACAAGAAGCTCCTTCACATGGAAAGCCAGCTGCAAGACGTGGACCCTGGGGGGGACCTGGCCACCGTCAACAGCCAGCTGAAGAAGCTGCAGGTATGGCCTGGCTGACCCGGTGGGGGCTTTCTGTGCCACAGTGGGACCTGAGCCGGGTTAGACTTTGCTCAAGGTATTTCCAACAGAGGGGATTTAAGACAGGGACTTCTTTCAACTGTGTTAGAAGAACTGGAAACAGAAAGGGAATACTGGGGCAATCCAGCTGGTAGTAAGTGTTGGAAGCAGCTAGAACCCCTAGGGCGTGGAGTACAAAGGGGAGAGAAAGGATTCAGAGCCAAGAAGCAGTGGGTGAATAACTGGTACACTGAGGGTTTCACAAGACCCTGACACCCGCTTCCTGGATCGAGAAACCAAGGCCCAGAGGGAGGGGACCGGCTGTGCACAGAGTAATAATGACATCTGTGTAGTGCTTCCTCTCCCAGTCTCCCAGCCGAGCTCTCGCTGACACCTCCCACCAACCCTAAGAGATTGGTATTAGCATATCCCCCATTTTACCAATGGGGAAACAAGCACAGAAGGTAGAGCACCAGGCCCAAGGACACAGCTGGCCAGGGTCTTCCCTACCAAATGGGGGCTCTTAGAGAACAGGCACAGCTGGTGGACGCACAGTATCTGACCACGTGACGTAAGTGGCAGGAGGTGCAACTGTAGGTGTTGCATCTCACCTCCAAGGTGTGCCAGCTCCTGCCTTTGCATGCCAGGAACTATGCCTGGCCATGACTGAAGAGAAACCGAGGCTCTGGGAAGTGAACTTACTGGCCCAGGGTAGCAAGTGGCAGAGGCTGGATTAAACCCAGGTCCCTATAGCCTTCACACTCCTTAGGAGCCACCTTCTGCATGGTTATGCTTATGAAGTGCTTGGCATAGGGTCTGGCAGAAAAGTTGACTCAAAATAAAAGTATAACGATGCCAATTAGTATGTAATTATTTATCTATGCAGCAAATCTTTATTGAGCACCTACTGTATCCAGATGCTTTTCTAGGTGCTGGAATATAGCAGCAGGCAAAACTGACAAAATCACTGCCCTCATGGGGCTCACAATCTGGTGGGGGAGACAGGCAAAGGAGCAAAGAGACAACATCTGAATACGATGCTAGTGGTGTCATTGATTTATATGCACCAGTGGGTCTCAAATACCTTGGTCTCCAGGACACCGCTACTTCCCATAAGTCATTGAGATCCCCAAAGAGCTTTTGTTTGTATGGATTATACCTATTTGATATTTACTACATTAAAAATTAAAACAGATATACTTAAATTATTGATTTATTTAAAAATAGCAATGATAAACCCAAAAGCATTAACCCAAAAGTCTTCTTTTAAGAAGAATAACTAGCCCTAGCTGGTTTGGCTCAGTGGATAGAGCATCAGCCTGCAGACTGAAGGGTCCCAGGTTCGATTCTGGTCAAGGGCAGATAGCTGGGTTGCGGGCTCAATCCCCAGTAGGGGGCATGCAGGAGGCAGCCAATGAATAATTTTCTCTCATCATTGATGTTTCTATCTCTCCCTCTCCTCTGAAATCAATAAAAAATATATCTTTTAAAAAGGGAATAACTATATTTTCAAAACAAAAGAAAATGTAGTCAGAAGACTGGCATTGCTTTCCGTGCTGCAACTCTCTTTTGTGTCCTGCTTAATAGAAGCACTGGATTGTCACCTGTGCTGCATTCATTCTGCTCTGGGGGCACAGGCCACATGGGCCCTGCAAAACCTGGTTCTACACTTGGGAGAGAACGATGAAGGCAAATTACACCTTAGTATTTTAATTAAAAGAGTTGTTACCTTGCAGACCTCTTAAAAGGATCTCAGGGTCCTCAGGAGTCCCCAGAGCACACTTTGAGAACCTCTGATGTACTTCCATGCCAGGCACGGATACCCCTTCCTCCCCAGCAGCCCTATCAGGGAGGGGCTATCCATGGCCATTCAGGGCCGTGCTTAGTTCTCGTCCACCCTCCTCCCTTGATACTCCCAGACCACAGCAGGGAAGGTGACCCTCTCACTGGCCCCTGAAAAATTGATCATTGCCTGAGCTGGACTCCATGGGCTGGACAGGCAGTGGACACATGGGGATGACTCAGCCCCAAGTCTGCTCTAAGGGATCGCCCAGAATATCGGCAGAGACAAGTGGTGGTTAGATGGTCAGACAGTGGAGGGAGCTGGCAGTACCAGCAGCCAGGAGCCGAGTGAGAAAAGTGTGGGGAGGGAGGGAGGCAGACAGACTTGGATTCAAATCCCAGCCAGGGCACATGTTCCATCCCTCTCTGAGCCTCTGTCATCACGTTCAGGCAGACTACATCAGGGCCTCCCAGAGCAGGCGAGGTTGTGCACTGAAATGGCACCTGGGATGTGGTGAACTCCCAAGAAATGGGGTCTGTGACTGTCGGGTTCCCAACCTGGAACAGAAGCGCGCTCCACTGAGGTCAATTTGAGGAGGGTCCTGACAGGGGTCCTGACAAAGGTGTGGGCAGGGAATGGGGAGGCCACAGAGAGGGTGAGCAGGGTGGGGTTCAAGCTGGAGACTTTACCTCCCTGAAGAGGGCAGGGGAGGAAAGGGAGGGGAGAGCCAAGCGGGAGCTGGGGCCCTTGGCCAGGAATGGCAGCCAGCCCTTGGCACTGCTGCAGGGAGGAGCCGGAAAATGACATCCCGGCTTCTCTCTGCTCTCTCCATCCATCTCCTGCTTGTGCCCCATAGCCCAACCAGGGCCTCCTTCATGGGTGCATGCACTCCTACCTGGTTAAATGCTTGCTGTCGCTGTCTTAAAGTTCTGAATGGTATTTGAACTACGGGCCTTGCATTTTCATTTTGCACTGGGCCCCACCCCACCTGGAAGCCAGAGGGTAGGGTGCGTACAGCTCAGCCTCCCGGGGCACAGAGCAGGGTGGAGAAGCTTGCTGGTGGGTCGGGAGTGGCAAACGAAGACAGCCAGCCCAGCAGCAACTATTCCTGGGGTGCTGAGTGGCCTCACCATGGTGACTAACTTCCCAGGCCGCTTACTGCGGTGGGTAAGGGCACAAGCTCAGGACTCAGGCAGATCTGGGTTTAGGCCACTTATCAGCTGTGTGATGTTAGGCCAGTGGCTTTGCCTCTTTCTGAGCCTCAAGTGCCTCCTCTGTGCCATGGGACAGACCCCACTGCTGAGCCACTCCTTGACAGCAGGACTATGGAGGCAGCACAGCATCACGGTCGAGGCCATGGATGCTGGTGAGGAGCCCTGGCTCTGTGACTTACCCTGGGAATTACTTCTCTGTGCCTCAGTGTGTTCTTTATTAAAATGGGCATGATAGCAGTGCTGACCTTCTGTGGACATCATGAAGATTACGAGACACCATGCAGACAGTGGTTTCAGGATTGCTGACCCAACAAATCTAGGATTCAATACTTGTTTACCGGCTTTTACATTTTAATTGTCTTCAACCAGAGGAGATATCACTATACCGTGTTCAAAAGTTATTGGGGTTGGTTATTTCTTCATCTTCACAGTGGTTATATTATTATGTGAAGGAGTTGTTTCATTTGTTTCTGTTTTATTCCTTGCGGGCATTTCCCCTGTCTGTACAGCTTTGTGTAAATGTATTTGGGGGTGATAATATGAAGCATTAATATAGTGCCCAGAGTTAGAACCATCTTCAGTTCACGTAATCTTCCCAAACTGCCTGCTCAAGTGGTGCTAACCAGGAGTTCCTGCTTCCTTCCAGCTCACCCATGCCTGGTGTCAGACCTTTCAGATTTTTCCCATTCTCAAGGACGGGAAACATCTCACTGTGGTGTTTGCATTTGCATTTGGGGGGGGGGGGGGACTGGTGAGCGTGGGCATCCTTGTCTCTCTTTTTGGCCATTCAGTTTTCAGAGGAAGGATTTGGGGCCTCCTAGCCAGCTCTTCCCTACCCATGGGGTGCGGTTAGCCCCACCAAGCCCTGGAGACCGTGAAGTGGGGTCCCCATTGTTTAAGGGTGAGCCGGAGACAAAGGGGGGTGGGGGGGTGGAGGTGGTAGGAGACTGGCGCTCGGGGTCCCAGAGCCTTGGGCGCTGGCGCCAGCAGAGGACGCCTGGCCTTTTTCCCCAGCAGAGGGAGCCTGAGCTCGAGGCAGGAGTGACTCAGGGGCCAAGGGCCCCAGATGGAGCCCAGCTGGGCCTCAGGAGTTGCCGCTGGGTAGGGGAGGGGCCTCCCAAAGCCCGTTGTCCCCTGGGGCCCTCTGGAGAGCACAAATACTGGGCTTATGCAGGAGGGAGAGGGTGGCCCAGCTGGACACATATCCTGGCTGCTCCACCGCTCAGGCTACAGGGCCAGGCTGGGCTTGGGAGGTACTGGCTCCCGCTGGAGGGGGTGGATGTGTGAATGATCCGTCTCCCCTCGGCCTTTCTCTGGGCTCGGTTCCCTCCAGCTCCCTCTCTCCCTCTCTCCCTCTCTCATTCTTCCCCTCTCTCCCTCTCCCTCTCTCTGTCTTGCTCCCTCAGTTCTTCTGTGGCTGCTTCTCTCTGTTTCTGTCTCTCCCATCTCGATCTCTCCCCCGATCTCTCTTATCACTGTGTCCTCCCCATGTCCCCACCTCAGCCGCTGCAGCAGACCCCACCTCCCAGGTCTAGGCCCTGTGACCCCGAGTCCTCTCTCAGCACCTCCTGCCCAACTGTCCTTCTGGCTGAGGGGCCAGATGGTGGCATCCCAAGCCCCCACTTTCCCGTCCTCAGGGGCCTGGCCAGCTGGTCTGGCTCAGCCACTGGCTCCTGCTTTGGGGGGAAACACTGATCTCCTGCCATCTGAGGGTCCAGCCAGGGAAATGCGCTGGAGGCTTTGCAGCGGCTGGGCTGAGTCCCTGGGGGCTCTTTACCACCCTCCACCCTAAGTACGGCTCCTTCTCTAGTCGGTTTTCATTTTTGTGCCACATTTCTTCATCTAGCTCAGCATGGCCGAGGGCTAGCATGTCAAACTCGCAGCTGGCCGGCAGACGGCATGCCTCCTTGGGCATGCGGCCTGCTGGCCTCAAGTCTGACATGCTTGGCCTCGGCCCTAGGGGAACAGGCCAGGTTCGGGAGCTCCAC